CCCCTTGGGAACGCATGCCTCGCGCGTCGTCGCGAGCACGTAGCCCGTCGCAGCGAAGGAGACCGTCGGGCAGCCTTAGGAGATTGGAGGGGGGACCTGTAGGTTTTTTGCCCCCCCCCATGCATGCACTGGTCTAGAGTTATTACTCTGCGCTGAGCTCAAGGGGCTAGACCAATCACCCCTTCGACGACGTAGACCGAGGGGAAAGGGAACTCGCCGGGATCCGTGGGATGCCCCAACAGAAAAGCCCCCCCTTGCGACAGCGCAGCCTCGCGCAAGCCTGGGGAGTTGAAAAGCAGAGCGCTGGCCTCAAGGACTCGCGTCCTCTCGCAAGTCCTCAGCGATGGCAGCCCCAGCAAGTGGTCGCGGCCGGCGCCGCAGCGGCGGCGGGCCGCCTGGCCGATGCCGCAGGCAGCTCCTGGCGGCGCGCGGCGGGCCGCCCAGCACCGCGTCCAGCAGCCCAGCGCTGGCCAGCTCGAGGAGCGCCGCGACGGCGCGCGGGCTCGCGAAGTCCCAGCGCTCGTCGAAGCCCAGGTCCACCCCGAAGAATAAAAGCGGCACCCCGCGCAGCTGGCAGAAGGCCTCCGCGCGCTGCTGCACGTCGCCCTGGCGGCGGCCTCCGGCGAAGACGTGCGTCGCCACCGTGGCGCGCTGGGCCAACCTCTCGAAGTCGCGCACCTTCTCACAGAATTCGCCCATTCCGAGGCCCGCCCCGTAGCGATCGGCGCCCCTGCGATTGCGCTGGAGGTCGACCCACTCCTAGTCATAAATATTCACCTCGTCCGTCATCTCGCAGGAACTCATGCCCTGCTGCAGCGTGCTCTCGGCGAGCTCCATGCTGAAGTTCAATGTCTCGCCCAGTATCCTTGCGTTGATCGACATCAAGATGCGCGCCGAGTGCGAGCCCCTCCCATCGGCAGCCTCTGGTAGCACGGGGGCGCCATTCGTAGTCCGGGATGTGCTGCAGCTCGATCGGTAGCTGGCTCCGTGCCACCACAGCTGGGGGCGCGGGCGTAGCCATCCACGGCCGCCGCCAAGACGGCGCCGCCACGGACGAGCACACACTCGACTCGTCGCATCTTGCAACGTGTAGAGGCCCGTCCAGTACTCGAAGCTGCGAGAGCGCGCCTCCGCCTCCAAGACCATGGCCCTCGCAAGCTCGCACGTCGCACCAGGCGTAGTTCGCGGTGGCGGCCATGATCAGCTCGCGGAGCTTCTCGGGATCTTTCTTCGGAACCGCACTCGCGCCGCTGATGGCCATAATGTCGGCTTGGCGCATGTGGGTCCACAGTCGGGGGGGAGGTCGGGGCGGCAAAGATACTTGGCCCGCTCCTCCTGCGAGCCACCCAGGAAGCCACAATGCTCCTCAAGGTTCCTCAGCAGGTTCTCGCTCTTGCAGCCCCAGTCCACCGCGTTGCTCTCATCAGCGTGGAAGAGGCTTTTTTTCTCTGGCAGGGCGTCCAGCATCTCCGCGGCCCGCCCGGCGGCCACCTCGCCGATGCGGCCCGCCGCGAACGTCGCATGCACCTGCCGCTTGGTCGCCCTCGCGTAGGTGACCTCGCTGAGCCTAAGCAGCTCGCTTATCGACTGCACGCCCTCATTCTTGCCCCGCGAGCATCGGCAAACTCCAGGGCCGCCCGAACGGCTCGAAGTTGAGCTTGCCCTGCCGCTCCGCCTGTTCCTCGCAGGTTCGTCGCTCGACGGCGCGGCCAGCCTGCTGCTGTGAGCCTCCAGCGTGATCGCGGTTGATCGTATCCAGGATTTCGTTGGCTAAATGACGCGCAGCTCGACGACGAGTTTCCCTTTGCGCAACGCGGCCCGCTGCTAAGGCCGACCGCGAGGAGGGCCATGGCAGCGGCGGCAGCGGGGGCCACGCGCGCCCGCCTTGCAGCAGCTGGTGTAGACCAGCGAGTCCTGGGAAGGAGGGCTTCTTCGCCATACTTGGGGTCTCGAGGGCGTCGGCGCCCGCCGCGTCTGCCAAGGCGCCGCGTTCGCGCCCTCCTCCCGCGCGACGGGCTGCCAGACGCTCTCCACCGCGCAGCCGTATCTCGCGCCTGGGAGGTGCCTTTGGCTGCCAAGGCAGTAGCCGCCACCGCCCTTTGGGGGGGGTCCCCTCTTGGGCCTGCCGCCCTCCTGGCCCTTCGGGTCGCCCTTTTGGCGGCGTCGCAGCTCGGCGCCAATCCTTTCCTCGCGCTGGTGCTCCAACTTCGACTGCGTCGTCGCCTCCGTGATCAGCCAGTTCGGCGCGATGTTCACCGCCGACCCAAGCGCCACCGCGGCGCGAAGGCGATCCGCGCCCGCGCTGCCCCGTGCGCGGCTCTCGTACACGCGGGCCGAGAGGTGGCGCAGGGCGACCCCCGCCTGGTCATCCGAATTAAGCTTCGCATAGAGGCTGACGTCGTCGCTGCAGTCGCCCAGCGCGAAGTCGACCGCCGAGGCCGTCGCCCACAGCGACTGCCACTCCTCGGCCCTCTTGGACCCCACGCGCTGCTGCGTCAGCCAGTTCCGTACCTACGTTGGGCCAGAGGGTTGGATGTTTCTGAAGATCTCGCCACCAGCGCGCCTGAAGTCGGGCGGCAAGCTGTGAGCCCACCCCTCGACGGACGCCGAGGCTGCCAGGCCCGTGCCCACGTAACCGCTAGTGAACTGGCTGGGGGCCCTCTCGAACCCGCGCAGCACCGCCTTGACGTTTTCCACGTCGGGCGCGCCCACAGAGCGCTCGCCCGAGAAGCCCCGCGCCACCAGCGTCGCCTTCACGCCCGGGTCCAGCAGCCCAGTCAGGTCGCGCTGGTGGACCCTCTGCCAGAACTTGCTGTCCCACCACGGGTCGCTGCCGCTCGTCGCCACGAAGCCTTCGAGTTCGGTCCTGATCGCGGCCGCGCAGGCGCTGGCCCCCGAGGGAGGCGCGGGGCCTGCGGGCGCCGCGCTGGCGGGGAGCTCGACGGCGGCAGCCCCAAGGCTCGGGGCGCGCGGCACGGCAGGGTCGCCCGTCGCTGGGGCCCCACCCTGGCTGGCTGAGATCGGCCCAGGCAGCCCTCCGCCCTCGCCGAACGCGGAAAAGGCGGCGAGGTCCCCATCGCCGGGCCTAGGGACAGCCCCTGGAGCCCAGGGCGCGGGGGCGCCTGCGGGCGCTGGCCTGATCGCGAGGGGCGGCGGAGGCGGCAGCCCCAGGCCGCCGCCGGCTTGGCCGCAGGCCTCCGAGGCGCCGTCGGTGGGGGCAGCGGCCGCTGCAGCGTGCGGTTCCAGCTTGGCCCGCTGCAGGGCGGCGAGCTGGGCGCGCAGCTGCTCGAGCTCTCCCTGGTCGTCGCGCGTGCGGTAGCACCATCCCCAGAGTCCTGCGCGCCAGAGAGTGGCACGAGAGCCCGCGACCGCGGCGACGAACGTGAAGCCCAGCCGCTGCACCGCCTCTCTGCCCGTGCTGGCCTTCAAAGCGCCGTTCGAGCCGAGGCCGACGAGCAGCGCGGTCGAGGCAGCCCAGCCGAGCGCACACCATTAACTTGGACCCCTCGGCGCGCCAGCGGGAGCATCTGCCTCCGAGACCGCTGGCGAAAGTACCATGTTCGTGCTACGCTAGGGGGCCAAACCCCACTGACTTCGTTAGAACTTCATGTTGCCTGGTTGGGCCCAGAAAAAACTGCGGAGGAGAGATCTGCAACCACCCACATTAAGTGGCACTCACTGCCCTCATTCTCCAATCATGATCATCATCATAATCCTCCTCCTCCTCCTCCTCATCATCATCATCACCATCACCATCATCACCATTACCATCAGTATTCTCATCATCCTCATCATCATCATCATCATCATCATCATCATCATCATCATCATCATCATCATCTTTATCATAATCAACACCACCACCACCACCACACTCATCATCAACAGCAGCATCATCATCAGCATCGTCATCATCTTCATCCTCATCATCATCATCATTACCACCACCGCCAGCAGCATCATCATCATCATCAGCACCACCATCATCATCGTCATCATCATCATAATTGCTTCTCGTGACCACTTACCACCATCGATTATCAGCAACACCAGCATCATTATCATCATGAACATCCCTTCCGCTTCATTATGGCCATCTCCTATGCAGTTTTGGCATTGCTGATCCCGCGCGCATTCCGACCACGGCGTGGCTGAGGGTGATAGGCCTCCAGCAGCGAAAGTGGATCAGACGGCTCCCAGGGCCAGTTTGTGTCCCCCCCATCCAGGGCCGAAAACATTGAATCACATCTTGTTTTTATGCTTCTGCACTTTGGGATTGGTCATGCGGAATACTACGGGAGCGCCCCAGAGTTTGGGCTCTGGGTTTTTTGGAGAGCACTTCCAATACGTACCCAGCACAGGGAGCTCTCAGTGGTCTGAGGACACTCCACTCAGTGCCTACGGCACGGAGGCGAATCTAATAAGGATCAGTTGGTGGGATATGGATCACGTGTCAACCTTTCTCGGTTCTTCTTGCTTGCAACCACTAAGATTACGAACAACCCAAAGCGACGATGACGAACAGCTTTCAAGCACCAACTCCCCCTCCCCAAAAAAACACGAGGTCATGGCGCCAGTAGAGATCCTGGTGTACTGGGCGCCAATGGTCCTGTCATACGAGCTATGATTTGTGGGCACGCTGGCTCCTCCTTCATGCAGGCGGCAGCGCCCCCTGCATGCTGGAGCCCAAGTTCGGGGCCGTTCGATGCCTCGCCTCTCTGCGTCGCTTGTTCCACTGACGGACGTCGCTCCGCTTTCCTAATGTCGCAGGAGATGTTTGGGTATTGAGCTATGGCTGGCTGTAGACAGGAGACTAAAGTTGTGAAGACGCATTTGAGTGCCAATGGTCGCATTGCCGAACGCTGGCTGCGCAGCGAATACGCGCCGCTTCACCGCGGAGCGTGGCAGTACCGCATGGTGCTCGCTAGGCGGCCTCCTTTGATTCTACAGAGTCTGTGAGCAGGAACGTCCTTGTCATCTTTCCTTGTGTCTCCTGGCTGGTCGTGGGACCAGACAGCTGTCCCGGTAGTTACGCAGCAACGTTCGCATACAGATTCGAGCTGGTGCAATAAAGCACTGATCTCCAGGCATGGTGCAGCTTGTGGCTGGCCTGCTCGACCGCGGCGCCCCCCTCGCTGACAAGACGCGGGACCTCATCCTGCAGAACACGGTGGTTCAGCCAGGCCGGCCCCCCCCTTCCGTCGAAGCTGGCGCCCTGCCGCAATCTCGCCTGGCTGCGGTTCCCTTCTCGTGCCCCCCCCGCCCCCTAGAGCTCCCCGTGCCGAGCGGCCGACCCGGACCCCGGGCGGGCGCGGTCGGGCAGGCGCCGCGGCGGCGGGGAGCGGCGGGCGCTGGCGGGAGCTGAGAGCCTCGCCGTGAGCGCCCCCTCGACGATCTCTCGGGGGCCTGCCCGCCTCGTGGAACCTCCGTGGCGGTCAGCGACCAGACCGCTGGCCGAATCTCGGGCGGGAGGTCGCCACGACGGAGGGGGGGGGGCGGGGGGCTGGGATGGGGGCGCGTGGTGCCGTCGCAGGGGCGGGCCCGCGGGAGGAGGGGGCGTGGCACACCGCGCCTGGCTCGCAGAGCTCCCCCCGTGACACTCCCAGACTTGGACGGTAGCCTCGACTTCCACTGGGGCATCGTCCTCTCGTGTTCCACGTTTCGGGTGACGCGCGTGCGAAGCATAGCGCGATTCCCGATGGATCGTAGCCAGTTGTTGGACAACATGCTCTCCTGCTGTCGTTGCTCCTGCTGGCGAGCGCCCCCTAGTCCCTAGTGGCGTCCCACTGATGTTCCGACGGTATTTTGGCTGTCCCCAGTGATTCCCGAAGGAGCTTCGATGCTTTCCCGATGGTGCCCTGATTCAGTTTCGACGGCGCCTCGTCCTGTCCCCCCCCCCCCCCGGCACAGGCGGCCAGAGCGCCCTGCACCTCGCCGCGCGCGCGGGCGAGGTGGAGGTGGCGGAGCTGCTACTGGCGCGGCGGGCGGACCCGGCGGCGCTGGACTTGGACGGGATCAGCCCGGTGGGCGCGCTCCGCGGGGCACGGCCGAGGAGAAACCGTGTCGTGGCCAACCAATCGACATTGTCGACCAGTTGGTCACGGCACGGTTTCTCTTGTCGATATTGTCACGATTGATAGTGTCGATTCGACGTACCTCTGGGAAGCATGTGCGGGCCATGTGGACGTTCTGCCCACAGGTCCAGCATGCTTGGGATCTCCGCCCCGGCCTTCTCACAGTCCGCCTGCGTTCTGGGAGAGGGTAAGCTAGTGCCCTCGGGACATGTCTGACATCCTACCACTCCCACCCATCCCTTCCCTTTGCGCTCAATTCTTTTCTATCTGCTGATCTTGGGGTGTCCTATATGACCTTGGTCCCCCCAATGACCACATCGTGTAACGCGCAATTAGAAAGGGACGCTGCACGTTGGAGGAGGAGATGGCAGATGAGCAGGAGAGAGAGGATGATGAGTAAGGGGGAGGAAGGAAGATGAGGAGGAGCAGACGCAGGAGGAGCAGCAGGAGGAGCGGGAGGAGAAGGAACAGGCGAAAGCTTGGGAGGGGAGAGGAGGGGGCGGCATCGACGAGGAAGGAATCGGATCCAGAAGTGTGGCCCGCGCTGGGGCGGGAGCGCTAGTCTGAACGACGGGGGCAAAGCGCCGACCCTGACATGTGGCCGACGCTGGGGTGAGAGCACCATTTCTGAAAGGACGAAGCGCTCCGATTGAAGAATCGCTCGAAATACCAACTCATGAAGTCGCGTGTGTGTGTGTGTGGAAAAGTGTTCGTCAGCGTGTGTGTGTGTGTGTGTGTGAGAGTGTGTGTGTGTGTGTGTGGTGTGTGTGGCTGCCCCTGGCGCTGCCCCGGCGTTGCGCCCAGAGGACGGCGGCGCTGTTCCGCGCAAGCGCCCCGCATCCCGCGCCCATTCCGGACGCGGAGGGCGGGCCCGCCGGTATCTCGGCCTGGCTTGCCTTTCCTTTCTTCTGTCATCTTGCTTGCGCCACCCTCTCGTGTCGCCACCCTGCCGGCAGTCCGTTGGGCGGCCACTCCGTACGCCTCCACGCGTCGTGTCGCCCTGGTTTCGTCCCCCCTTGTCTCACTCGGGGCATTGTGCCCTTTCCTTTCTGCGCTGCCTGCCAGCCAGATGTGGCCCTCCCCTTCACCCCTCACGGTGCTGTCCCTCCCCACAGGTTTTACCACTCTGTCACTGTCGTTCGGCAGGTGTTCTCCCGTCCTACGTCCTCGTGCTACGTCCCTGCTCGGGAGTTCCAGCGTCGGGCGGTGCGTCACTTCCACGCCATCCACACCCGGATCGTTGCTGCTGGGGGCATGCATGGGATCCAAAGCGATCTCTCCTTAGGGCCCAGCCGCGCGCGCACCGGCCCCGACCTTACTCCGCATCGACGCTGCGCGCGAGGCCGCGACCGACAAAAGGTTGTGCGTGTGTGTGTGTGTTTGTGTGTCTGTGTGTCTGTTGGGTGTGGGTGCATGTAGTGCAAGCTGCGGGGTGCAAGCTATGCTGCGCGACCAGTCGATAGCAAACTATGTGGTGCAAGCTATGGTGTGCAACTGCAGATCCTATCGACCCACCCGCGACTTGTTAATAAAACTCAACTGGCCTGGTCATCGTCGGGGGGTTCAGGGACGAAGCGGAGGGGGACGAGATAGTGCAGGTGATCGAGGGTTTCCTTTCAGACGGCAACCGCCGGCACAAGGTACACAAAGTGTTCCCTTTCAGCGACCCGGCGCGCGTGGGGGTGATCGAGTTCGAGACGGAGGCCTCCAAGATCGGGTTCTATAAGAAGATTCGTAATGTGAGCAAGCAGGTATCGGAGAATTTGAAGTTGTGGTTCACAAACAACCGCACCTACAAGCAGCGCCTACGAGACAAGACGTTGGGACGTATCAAACACTGGCTCATCGAGAAAAAGGGCTGCGATCCAGAGGACGTCCAGATTGCATGGAAGAGCGGGTGTGTACGCGTCAGCGGCAAGAACGTCGCGTGGGTACGGGGGGACTCTGAGATGATCTTGAAGGGCGTGGCGGAGGATGTGAGGGAAGAGGTACAGGAGGAGGTCGAGGAGTGGAAGAGGAAGCGTACGAAAGGCGTGCAGAGGGAGTAGGGAAAGCGACATGCAAGCATGCCGCGTACCAGTACGATGATCACACAAACAACAGCCTCTACAAGGACACCTACAACTATTTCGTTTGCTGTCATCGCCTACAATACCCATTCATTTATGACGTTTGCAGAGAGACTAGAAGCCGTTCTCCTCGAGCCGAAAGGCCAAAGGTGGGACCTTTTAGTTTTTACGGAGACGTGGCGCGAGGAAACGAAAGAGGCGTTCGTCGCGGAAGGCGGGCGCACGTGGTTCGGCAGCGGTGGGAGCAGAGGTAAAAGTGGGGTGGGTATGCTTCTGCACAAGAGATGGGCGCACAAATCTTGCAAGTCGGTCTCTGATCGCGCTGCTGTTCTAGAGCTGGATATCCAAGGAAACACTTTCAAGTTTTTTGGCGTGTATATGCCACATTCACAAATGGAAGAGATCCAAGTGGAGGCAGTGTACGCAATTCTGGAAAACTCGTTGCGCCCGGGTGGAGGCACAGGCCCTGAGACCATTATTGCGGGGGACTTCAACGCAGAAGTCGGGCATTGCGCATGTGAAGAAGAGAAGGACGTTTTGGGTCCAAGCGCAATCCGGCAACGCAGCGATAGAGGAGAATATCTTGTACACTTTAGTCTTCTGCGCAATGTCACGTTAGCCAACACTCTTGTCGAAGATGGATCGGAAATGTTATGGGCATATGCAAATGGAGATTTTTACAAACAGTTGGACTAATCCTGGTGGACCGCCCGTGATAAAACTCCTCTTCTTCATTATTTTCTTCGTTAACCCTCTCTCTCTCTCTCGATATCAGAAATCTCCATCGTTCCTGTCTCCCTCTCTCTATCTCCCACCGTTTCACATTATTCGGTGGGCGACGGGCGACCCGAGGCCCCAATCCGTATATATGCCTGTCTCTGGTTCGTTATACGCCTCGCTCCCCCTCTCTCTTTGTTGTCTCTCTCTCTCTCTCTCTCTTTCTATACCTCTATCTCCCTTTCCCTTTGAATTTGAATGTTTATCATTGTTTGTTCTCTCTCTCTCTCTCTCTCTCTCCCCCCCCCCTCTCTGCCCTCTCTGAGGCCGGGGCGGAATGGGGGGGGAGAGAGAGAGAGAGAGTGAGAGAGGGGGAAGAGGACGACTGAGGTCAGTGACTGAGGGGAGACGGAAAAAGAGAAATAGACATAGGGAAATATACATACAGAGATGGGGACGGGAAGGGGGAAAAAGAGAGAGATAGAGAGAGAGAGACACACACAACAAAGAACACAGACATGATACACAACGAGAAAGAGAGAGAGAGAGAGAGAGAGAACAAGAGAACAAGAGAGAGAGAGAGAGATAATGAGAAATAGAGAGAGAGAGAGAGAGAGACAGCGTGGGGGAGAGAGAAAGAGAGAGAGAGAGAGAAGTGAAGAGATGGAGAGGGATTCAGAGAACGTGAGGAACATCGAGAGAGGGAGAGAGAGGGAGAGAGAGGGGGATGAGGGAGAGAGTGAGAGAAAGAGAGAGAGAGAGAGAGAGAGAGAAATAAAGAGAGTGAGTGAGAGAGAGGAGGAGCTGGCGGGCAGGGGAAGGCGGGAGGGAGGATCCTATGGGGCCATGGGCTATGGGGGGCACCTCGGGAGTATAACACGTCGGAAGGACAGGATGGGGAAGGGCTGGGAGATGGGCGGGAGCGGGAGCGAGATGGCGAAGGGGAACGGGGGGGGGAACGGGGGGGCCGGGGAACGAAGGGCGTCGCCGTTTTTGCGCGACGCGCTTCGTGCCCTGCGCCAGGAAGCAGCGCAGGGCGCCGCTCCACGCGTCTCGGGCCTCGGCTCGAGCCTCGCGCCGAGCTGCCGACGGCCCTCCCGCCAAGAAGCTGACCGCGCGCGGCGTGATTGGCCCTCCCGCCAGGAACCTCCCTCCTCCTCCTCCTCCTCCTCCTCCTCCTCCTCCTCCTCATCCTCCTCCCACTCCTCCTCCTCCTACTCCTCCTCCTCCTCCTCCTCCTCCTCCTCCTCCTCCTCCTTCTCCCCCTCCTCCTGAATCCAGCCGCGCGTGCTATCAGCTTCCTGGGGCGGCGGTGGCGGGTGCCCTTGCACCCGATAAAGTAGCACGATGTGCCGAGTGCACTGTGCAATCAGCTCATCCCTGTGGTGATGATGATGGCGATGATGGGTGGTGGTGGTGGCGGTGGTGTTATTTCAAGCGGGATTTAGAGCTGATGCCTACGACGGCGGCGGCTGCCCTGGCCCAGCCCGCCGCCGCGCCGCTAACCTGGAGCCCCATATGAGCCCCTGCTCGAGGGGGAAGCGCCAGCACATGCCGCGCACTACAGTCGGACCGCTGAAGAAGGAACGCTACAAGGGATGAAAAAAACGACCCTACCCTGGGTTACACGCGCGTGGTCTGTAAACCTCCTGGGGACCCCCAATGTCTAGAGCCGCCAGGACGCGGCACATCACGCAGGGTTTACACTGTCAGCACACAGGATTTTTAGCGCACAGCGCCTCGTAAACCAGGGTAGGGTAGTTTTTTATGCCCTTGAATTCTTGGTCCTGCAAGCGCCTCCGCACCCCAGGGAGGCAAGAGGAACAGCACTGGGGGGATATATGGAGCATCGAGCCCCTTCCAAACCCAAACTGCAAACTGTTCCTTATGTCAGCGCCTTGACTGCACGACGAGGCCGCGCCGCGCCCGAGCGCGCTGGGGCGCTCGAGCGCCCTTCTAGAAGCCCACCTCACACGAGATCACTAGTTCAGCTCCCCGCAGTCGCCCCTGACGAGCTCGACGCCGCCGCCGCTGGGGTCGCGCCCAGCATGCCCTGGAGGAGCTTCGCCGCAGCTGCCTTCGCAGCTGCATCCTTCTCAGCAGCTGCCTTCTTTGCGGCGGCGTCCTTCTTCTTCCCAGCGGTCGTCTTCAGCGCGGCCGCCTTCTTCGCGGAGTCGGCCTCGACCTCCTCGGCCGCTGCCTTCAAGGCGGCCCACTCCTGCTCCTGGGCCTTCCTCGCGGCCTCGGCCTCCTTCGCGGCGGCAGCTGCCTTGGCGGCGGCCTCCTCCTCTTGGCGCTTCCTCGACGCCGCCTCGGCATCGGCCCTCTCGGCAGCTGCCTTGGCGGCGGCCTCCTCCTCCTGGTGCTTCCTCGCGGCCGCCTCGGCGTCGGCCCTCCCAGCAGCTGCCTTCGCGGCGGCCTCCTCCTCATCTTGGTGCTTCCTCGCGACCGCCTCCGCATCGGCCCTCTCGGCAGCTGCCTTCACGGCGGCTCCATCCTCATCTTGGTGCTTCCCCGCGGCCGCCACGGCGTCGGCCCTCTCGGCAGCTGCCTTCACGGCGGCTCCCTCCTCATCTTGGTGCTTCCCCGCGGCCGCCACGGCATCGGCACTCGCGGCAGCTGCCTTCGCGGCGGCGCCGCCCTCCTCTTGCACCATCATCGCGGCCCCGTCAGCATCGGCACCTTCGGCAGCTGCTTCTTTCTTCTCCTCCTCATCCTGGGCCTTCTCAGCGGCCGCGCTCTCGACGTCTGCCTTCGCGGCGGCCTCCGCATCCTCGGCAGCTACCTTCGCGGCGCCCTCCTCCTGGGCGGCCTCCCCGTCCGTCAGCGCCGCCGCGGGGGCGGCGACAGGGGTGATCGTGACCTTGGCATCTGCGGCCTTCCAGGCTTGCACCAGCATGTCGACCATGGCCTTGTCGGGAACCTACGGGGGCGTTCCAATGCAACGGTGACGAACGCGCATCTCCCACGAACCCCCCCGAGAGGCCCTGGGGCCGCTGCAATCCTCGGGGCTGCCGTAAAATATCAAACATTCGCCCTGCATCGGAACATTCGTCATCCTTGCATAGCTCGCGAGCGCCGACACGCCGTGCGACAACGCCGTCCCCTCCTTCAAATTGCCGACAGAGATCCTCGAGCGCACGCGTGAGACAAGATAGGGGGGGGGGGGCGGCCATGCCGAAGAGCGGGCAGCCCTTGGGGCGCCGAGAGTTCGGGGCCCAACAGGGGCGCCCAAGCACTTGAACACAAAAGGGGCGCAACTGCAGCGATGCCCCGCTTGTGTTCCAGTGTCTGGGAGGCCCTGGCAGGTTCAACGGCGTGCACTCGACCAGGACATTAAGGCTGCGCGGGAAGGGTGCACGGGCCTTGGAACGCCATGTGGACGTTTTCCGCGCGGAGCGCAGCATAATGCCGAAGGGTGCCGAATACCGAAGGGGCAAGGATGTAAGGGTGACGTTGGAAAGTTGCCCTATACTTACTATCATAGTTGACTGTATGCCTTGGGGGGGGGGGGCAGGGCGCCGACGGGGATGTGCACGACAGCCGCGACTGAGGGGCAGCCGCGGTCCTCACGCCCCAGCACGTCTGCGACACCTTGTCGGCCACCACGAAGCCAGGCGGGATGTGCAACATCTCCCGAGCCCCGCTCACGCTGCCCGTCTAAACTCGCACTGACATGCCCTCCCACACGACACCACCACCACGCCGCACAAGCCGTGCATCCAGCAGGACGCGTTGACAGGGCAACAGTTTAGAGTCCCACGAGGCACTCGAGACCTTAATCCCCCTGGCAGGCTCCGACCCCTCCCTCATCACCTCATCGCCCTGAGGCCCTCGCCAATCACCCTCATCCCTCATCCCCCCTCCAACCCCCTCACCATCCCTTTAATCATCCGACCCCCTTCGGCCCCCTCGCCAGTCAGAATCAAATATCCAGGAAGGGCGCCAATGGGCCCGAAGCCCAATGCGACACCGAGTGAAAACACGATGCCAAGTACAGCCGCATCACGACTGCAGCGCAGGATTCACCGCACTCAGGCCTCACAAATCCTTCACCCTTACCTCGCCTCCCGAGCGCCCCTGTAGAGAGCCCTTGCCCCGCCGTCTGG